GGACGGTTTACCCCTGCGCTACTGTCATCCACACCCGCGGACGGTTTACCCCTGCGCTACTGTCATCCACACCCGCAGACGGTTTACCCCTGCACTACTGTCATCCACACCCGCGGACGGTTTACCCCTGCGCTACTGTCATCCACACCCTCGGATGGTTTACCCCTGCGCTACTGTCATCCGCACACGCGGAACCGTTTCCCCTGCGTGCCCCCAGGAGGAGGCCCGCTCTGGGCTTGAGTGGCCCACGGTTGTTTCCATGAAAACCCACGTATGTGGCACAGGCCGGGCGGGGGGGAACGCTTTGTGAGGACCTCTCTGCAGAGCCTCTGGCTTCCTCCCTCCAGGTCCTGAGTTTGAGGCTGTGCAGCATCTCAGCGCCGAGGAGCTGGGAAAGTGGGCCGCCAGGCGTTATCTGGCACCCGCCCGCCCGCGCTGCAGGCTCTGCGTCACACATGCACGGTTTGCTAGAGCAGTGTCTTTTCTGAAATCCTGTAGTAGAAGGGGTGTCACACGTTGACACTTGGGTTGTTTGTATCCTCCAGCATACGGGCATTTGTTTGCCCGACTGCTACCTCTGTGAGCCAGGCTGGAGAGGCTGGTCGCAGGACCTACCTGCCGGTCCACACGCAGCCACACTCGAGCTCGGTGCACTCACCAGGCCTGAGACCTGACGATGTTCATCCTCGTCGGGCAGAGCACACCTTCTGAGGTGCGGGGCGGCCTACAGACCCAAGTCGCCACCCAGACCCTCCTCCCCAGACAGCCCAGATTTCCCTTGCCATCCAGGAAGAGCCCATCTCGAAGACTTCACCCCAGACATATCTCTCGTGTATGTTTTTCTGGCTGTGTTATTGAGCTTTTGTTTCACGTTGGGTTATAGTGGTGGTTTGGACGCTGGCCTTGCTGTATTTCATAGACTGCCGTGACGCCACTGATCAGGCCTCTGCTCTTCACTGGTTATTTGACGGATAGGCCCTCGTACCCCTCTCGGGCCCACAAGTGAGATGTGATCCACAGACTCTTAGGCTTCCTGCTGGGGTCACAGGTGGACACCACCACTCCACCTTCTCTTCTGCAGAGAGGTAGACTCGGGGCTGGCCTGAGGCTCAGCCTCCTATGACAGCCATGTGCCATCACAACCAGCTATGGGTTAACTAGGAATCTCATGAACGTTTCTGCCGGGGCTGGCCTTGAACCACAATCCTCCTGTTCTCAGCCTTCAAACTAAGATTACAGGAATGAACCGCCAGTGAAACTAAAAAGACTACAAGGAGACGTCGCTGTAATTCCAGTTCCATTATGACAATTCCACAGTGTATAGCATACTTTGATCTTTATTATTCAATATCCTGTCGTTTTTCTCCCCCCACACCTGCGATCCTCTGTAGACAGAGCCCTGCTCACTCCCGTCCCGTGACCACTATCATCACTTAAGGTCTAGCTTCGATTGCAAACCCTTAAACAAGGCCAGGGTGGTTGCTTTCATCAAGCCGTAGGTAAGAGGATCTCACTTCAAGGCCAGCCCCAGGGAAAAAACTATGAGAACAACAAGCTAAAGCAAAACAGGACCAGAGCAAGTATGAGGCCCTGAGCTCTGATGCCAGTACTCCAACTCCTCCTAACCCGAACCAAGACTCCCAGGCGGTTAACCACGCCGCTGAGTGTGTTAACACCGCTTGCCCTTAACAAGCTCGTGGCTGGTAGCGACTTTTTAATGCTTTTAAGAGGCTGTTGGTATTAATAATGCTCAGGGGACAAAGCTGCGCTTTAGAAAATGAGGATGCTTAAACCAATTTAGCAGAAGATGGAACTTGAGTAATTTCTTTCACTTACAGAAAGACTGCACAGCTCTGGGTAGTGTTGCAGCACCATTGCCGGTAGTTGGCATGGAGTTGCCTGGAGTAGGATTTTTAGAGCCATCCTCCGTGTTCATAGTGGAGTTGTGCGGTCCTGATTCTTCCTGCAGAAAACCCGACCATGTGCTGAGGGTTCTAAGCCCTTTCTGCTTTTGAACAATAGCTAACACCTACGCTTGTTCTCGCCCGAGGTCTGGCTGGGCCAGTGCCTTCTGTAGAGTCTGTCCCAACTTGTTTTGTCCAGTTGTTCATCGTCTCTGGGTGACAGCTGTCTGGTGTTTGATTTCAGTATCCGGCCAAACATCTTCCTGGGAGTTGCTGAGGGCTCAGCCCAGTATAAGAAGTGGTACTTTGAGCTGATTATCGACCAGGTGGACCCCTTCCTGACAGCGGAGCCCACGCACCTGCGGGTGGGCTGGGCATCGTCCCCGGGCTACGCCCCGTACCCCGGAGGCGGGGAAGGATGGGGAGGTAATGGTGTGGGCGATGACTTGCACTCCTACGGCTTCGACGGACTTCACCTTTGGTCAGGTGAGTGCCCCCCAAAGGCTGACCTCTGACCTCTTCCCCAAAACCACGGAGTCTCACATTGCTCACGTTGAACCTGCCACTGTCTGGTGAAACAATACAGATTTATGAGTCTCGGAGTATATTAGGTTTAATACAACACTGCTTTGACGAGTCCTCGGTACTTGGTCCACAGCATATCACGTGACTTGAGCTCAGTCTCTCTATTGCTAAAAACCTTGATCACATAGGATCGTTGTGATTTCATGAATAAACAGCCGCTTAGCTTTCTTTACCAGGCAATAAGCTTTTTTTCTCATTTTCTCATCCTTTTATTCATAGACTTTCATAGAAGAAAGAAAGGTTTCTGGAGCTTAGCATATCTAAACTCCACACCATGAGCTGGGAAGAATCAGTCTCCTTAAAGAAATTAGAAACACGTCAAACCTGCATACTGTTCACGTTTGACTTCATTGTTCGTTTGTTTGTTTAATATTGCTGTGGGTCCTATAATGAGGAACTTATCCCTCATTCTCTGCAGTGAAATAAAGTACTAAAGCTTCACACACAGACTCCTAGACCACACTCAGCAAACTGGTCAGTGTGCACCGCGCATTCTAGGCTGTGGTATTTCTCCACGACAGATGGCCTGCGTTCCGTGCGCCTCCCTGGCTTGGCTGGCCGCGCACGCCGACCCGGTGTTCATGGACTCCTACTCCAGCCTGACCAGCTCTGCCAGGGGCAGATTTGTCATTCATTCCTTTGCGCTCTTCTTTCTGGTTTGTCCACTACACGTTCTGAATTCCCAGACTGACATGATACCTTCCCTACCTCTATGAAAGCAACCTTTGTACCTCCGTTCCAGTGTTTACCCGGTAGCCTTGTAAGGTTTCTTGATTGTACATTCCCATCTAGGCTATGGACTCCTCAGGGGCAAGAACCTTGGCCTGTGTTTGGTTTTATTTAAGAAGGATGTGATATTTTCAATCTTTTAGTCCACTGATAACAGTGAACAGTTTTAAGCTGAGATTAGAACTATTACCAAAGATACGTGTACAAGATTGGCATCTGGCTCCCATACCCATCGGGTGAAACATTTTTAATTACCTTTTGGTGACTTAGTATGAAGCCATTACAATCCAGTTCTAATGAATATTTTATGAGAGAGCTAAATGTTTGATGTTATAGTTGGAAAAAATGATAAAGCCTGTGTATCCCAGTTTGGTTGAAAATCTGTAGGTATGCATGTATGCACTTTACTAGAAACATTTTGTGGACCTTTTTTTCTTTTTTTATACTTTCCTGTATACATTTTGAACATTTGTAAGAAACATATGTTTTTCAATCAAGAAATAAGATACTTGCATCTTTGTCACCCTACTAAATCTGACGTTCAAGTTCTTAAAAGCCAATGAGCCGGCCAGGCTGCGCGGTGGTATCTGACCACCTGCCGCCCTCTGTGGCTTTTCTCCCAGGGATAGAGGGGACACATCTTCTTTTTCCCTGGTGGCTTCAAGAAACACACCAGGGCTTTGGGCAAGTACCGTGCCGCTGGGCTGGATCCCGGCCCTTGTTTTTGAGAGATTCTCATGATGTAGCCCAGGCTGGCTTTCGGCCCCCGACCCCACCCCACCCTCTCGAGCACTAGAATCGCTGCCAAGTGCCCGCACGCTGCTCTGGCTGTATGTTTCTGAGGATGTAGAAGGCAGCAAGGCCTTTGAGTATGAGTATGAGTGGTACCCCTGCCTCCGGAGAGCTTCACCCAGCAGAAGCAGTATCTGTCAGGCACGATGCCTGCTCTCTCTTCCACTTAGAAATACTTTCTCAGTGTTCATATCACAACACAGTGCTTCAAATATGTTGGCCCCTCCCAGTCTCCGACGTGCCCGCTGTACCCCACCTCCCCGAGGTGGCCGCTGGGTCTCCCCCCTCCCCGTGGGCATCCCCAGGGTCCTCCATCTCTTCCTGTGCTGTGCCCACCAGGACGGATACCCAGAGCGGTCGCCTCCATCAACCAGCACCTGCTGAGGTCGGACGACGTGGTGAGCTGCTGCCTGGACCTGGGGGTGCCCAGCATCTCCTTCCGCATCAACGGGCAGCCGGTCCAGGGCATGTTTGAGAACTTCAACACCGACGGGCTCTTCTTCCCTGTGATGAGCTTCTCAGCCGGCGTCAAGTAAGTTACGTCCAGGTCGCAGGAAGTGGCCCTGCCTCCTCTGCGGGTTCCATGAGCCCAACCACCCTGGAAGGTCGGCGTGGACGCCAGACCGCGTGCTCAGGGCTGGCTGAACAGCCTCCTCCCCCTGCAGCGTCCTGCCACATTCCCAGATACGGCACGTAGTGAGATAAATTCTGTGCAGAAAACTAATAGTTACGAGAGCGTTGCGTGTTTATTTGAAGAGAAAATCTTGAAAGGTTTAAGTAGCGCAGTAAACATCCCCTTTGAGTGTGATGCTTAGCAGTAATTGTCCTTACTATTTTGGCGTATTTTCTCCAAGTCTTTTTTCACGTAAATATGTACATTCTTCTTAAATGGCAATCACAGTGGGTATGAAGTTTTATGTCTTGGTTTGGATTCGGCAGTACGTTACAAGCCTTTTCCTAAGCTCTCAGGGATCTTCGAAATGACATTTTATGACCAAATTATGTTCCTTTATTTGGCTGCTCCATAAATAACCATTCAAATTCCATTTCTATTGTTGTAAATAAAATTACCACAAACATGCCTGCATATAAATCCTCTTCTGAACTTAGTTTGTTCTTCCTAGAAGGTCAGAAATATATACTGAACTTTTTTAAAGTCCCAGTTGATGATTATGTGGCCAAACTGATTTTAGGAAAACTGTCTGAAAATTTCAGAATTTATTATCAACAGTTGAACTCTCTATGAAGCTCTAAAAAGCCATAAATTCCTTCATAACTTATTTTACAGTAGATCTGGCACCAACAGAAGTAAAATTTTCAGTCTGTCATCGATCCTACCTCTTGCTATTGGTTTGTTTAGTTGCAGAGATAATGTGTGTGCTTGTTGTAGGATGCTGGCACTCATCTGGCTTCGGGCTCTGCCTAATGTGTGTATATGCAGCATAGACTTTCTTATTTTCTTTTTTCAACTCCCAAGACTTCCAAGGTCTAAATATTTCAGGTAAAGAATTTGGACCTAGCATGTCATTTAGAGCAGTATATGGAAAGGCCCGGCTGGCTGAGCCCTTCTTAACCCTTCCTGCCCTCAGTGTTTTCCTTTTTTAATTTTTTTTCTAAACAGTTGGAATCCAGGGCCTCAATCTCTTCCACGGGAGCCACATCTCCAGCCCTTTTTGTTCTGGCTACTTTTTAGATAGGACTTTATTTTTTGCGAGGGCTGACCCCAACAGTCCTAAATGACGCATGCATACCACAGCCCAGCCATGGTTGAGATGGAGTCTTGCAGACTTTTTTGCCTGGGGGCTGAGACCTGCCGTCTCTGATCTTAGCCCCCCATGCCACTGCAGAGAAAGATGCTCAGGCTGGCCTCAAACTTCAACCCTCCTGATCTCTACTTCCCAAGTAGCTAGGAAAACAGGCGTGAGCCTGTACCCAGCTTGTACTTTGACCGTCTTAACCATTCGTTCATTTTTCCTGTTTCTCTTAAAACACTGAGATAGGACTTTTGTATCTATGGCTTTTTTTTTTTAGGGTGGGGAATGGGGCTCTTTTGGAATCCTCTCCTGCAAAGAATAACTGGGCGATGTAGGTGATTAAATGGTGTCTGTAAGCAGAAAACTTGTCTTCTGTGTGGGTCAACAAGTCGTGCTATTTTTAGAGCAAACTGAGAAGCAACGTTGTCTAGATAAAAGAAAATGTGTGTCAGCCACAGCTGCTGAGAGTAGAAGGAAGGAGAGCAGTTAGGAAGCTGGAGGTGCATGTGCTGATTTGGTCCCAGCTTAGTTCTGGCTGTGCTGGGCTTGCGGCTGTGCAGGGGTCTCTGAGAAGCAGCACTGAGGCGACTCAGCTTGCCCCAGGAAGCACTCAGCTCTGACGCATCCCTGCCTCTGCTTCAGAAAGGAAGGAGCCCTGCCCGCAGAACTGGACCAGGCGAACGCTGGCGTGAACCCCACACCTCAGGGCCAGCCCTGCCCTGCAGACAGCTAACGCTCCCCATAAACCAGCACTCCCTCCCAGCCCATCCAGGCAAGGCTGGTTCGGTGCTCACACCCACTTCTCTCATTACTTTGTTCGGTTATGGAAAAAAGTAGAAAAAATTGAGATACTAATTCCAGGTGAATTAAAACGCCTACTGAACAGAAATGTCTCAGTGATAACTGCGTGTGTGACAGTGCAGGGCTTGCACTTGGGGCCCGGGCACTGTCCTTTACCTTTTTTTCCTCAGCACTAGCATTTTACTACTTGACCCGCAGCTTTCTGACTTTCTAGTGGTTAATTGGAGACGATGGGCTTCTGGGCTTTCCTGCCTAGGCTGGCCTTGAACCGCAATCCTCCTACCTCAGCCTCAGAGTAGCTAGGACTGTGGACGTGAGCTCTCAGTTCCGGCTCTTCATGACCATTTTTTAGACTTATATTTCACCCGCCTTTGTCAGGTTTGCGTTGGCCCATCCGGACAGTCTGTCTCCATCATGGAGAACTCAGAATCTTCTCTTGTAGTTGCTTCTACCTTCTTCTGTGCGGCTCTGGCTTCTATTTCTCATCATTCTATCGCTTTCAATTTCATGGCCTTTAACAAGACCATGGTTTTAAATTTTTAGCAATTATTTTCCTCTTTACAAACTCTGTTGTTATAATACCTGACAAGATGTCGACCAACAGTCGACAGAGTGAGGCCACGTGAGGAGCGAAACTCTGGTTCGGTTCGGTTTCCCCATGGTGGAGCCAGAGTCAGCGTGAGTAACTGCTGACTGGGCCACGCATCAGCATGCGCCCTCCTGGCTAGCTGGCCTGAGAGCCTCTGTGGTTGTCTTCTCTGCATTACAGGTGTAGCACCCTGAGGGACAGCCTGCTCAGTATGGAACAGAAGTGGCTATGAGACGTGTACACCTTGGCACCCACCAAAAGGGCTCGGATGCCAAGAAGCCCTTATTAAAAATAAAAAGGGAGCTGCCGGTGGCTCACACCCGAAATCCTAGCTATTTGAGATCAGAAGATCATGGTTCAAAGCCAGCCCAGGAAGGAAACTCTGTGAGACTCTTACCTCTAACAAACTACTCCAAAAAGCTGGAAGTAGAGTTGTAGCGCAAGTGGTAGAGTGTTCGCCTTGAGCAAAAGCAGCACAGGGACAGAGTTCAAGCCCCAGGACTGGCAAAAAAAAAATGGATCATGTATCATCCCTGCCCATCATCAGCAAATGGGACACGGGCATCTGGTGGAAGGCCCCGTGTGTGGGACTTGGGGGCCACAAGAGGGTATTTTCTAGAGGAGAATATAGGTTACAGCTATCGACTCCTCAAAACCAGCTTAATCATCTTCCATGACCCTGGTACCAGCCCCTTCTAATTCAAAAACAACCATATCCTAAAACACTTGGTGTCTGGGGTTGCCGTTGGCTTTTTACCGGTATACCCCAGACTTGGCTGGTGTTCAGGTACCCAGCAGCTTTGCTGTGGTCAATGCTGTAGAAATTATTGCTGAAGTAAATACGCTTCTGTAGAGAGCAGCGTGGAGCTGGCCGGCTGGCCGTAAGACCTCAGGTTGTCCTTCAGTCTTAGTGACACAGACCAGAGGTGTGATTATGAGCCATGACTGACTTACTAAGTTCTGGTCAGCAAAGCTTGGACCTCTCTCGACAGCTGGCCCCCTGGTCTCTCCTCCGGGAAGACTGACCTGATTCCATGTTTGCTAGTGATCTGTGACTGATGGAAGGGAAACTCACCTGTGCTGAAATTCCTGGATCAGTCTTGTAAATCTGAGTAGTCATCGCCCTTTCTACAAGTTAGTAAACAAACGTGAACAAAACTCAGAAGAGGAAGTTAAAAATACTAATGGAATTTATTCTCCAATGAGCCAGGAAAGTAAACTTTACACATGGCCAGACTTGTGTGCTTTGTAGGCCTCTCCCTGTTCCTCTGGGAAGTGAACGCGTCATGAGAAAACAAATCTTCTAGCGTGAAGCATCTGGCTTAGAGGAGGAGCCTCGGGTGACACAGAAGACAGGGAGTTGGTGAAGGAAATTGTTTTTAAAGTCTGAGGATCAAGAACAACTAATTCAGGCTCACACCCTTCGTCCTAGGTTAAAAAAAAAACGTGTAGGACGATCATGGTCTAACCCTAAACCCAGATAAAAATGCAAGATCCTACCTAAAAAAAAAATGAAGAGTCCCTGCTCAGCAAACCCCACAAACACACACAGAAGACGGGAACGGTGGGGGAAGATCAAGGGCTCCGTTTTCACCTTCTCTGTGCTTTGAGTTTAACGTTTGTTGGGAGCTGGGAAACTCAGCGAGAAGGAAGGAGGGGACCGTGGAGGCTGATTGCACGGTCGCGTGGGGGAGGGGGAGCTTGCCGAACGCTGGGTGTCAGGTAGAGTGTGTGTTAAGTGATATAGACGCCAGGTAGTTCTGCTGTTTCTCTTTGTACCCCATAAACACATTCCCTGGACTCCTGAGTTGGTGGGTAGGTCCAGTAGCTTTTACTGCTCCTTTACCAGAAACAGCCTTGTCAGTCATTTAAGAGGCCAGTCTATTTGACCATAGAACGCGGTTGCGTCCATCAAGGTGGTAGCCCTTGCCCAACTTGGGCTGGAGTGTGAGGCTGTTTGTCCCCTCCAGTTCTGTCTCTGCCCCCGACCTGTCCTGGAGCTCTGGAGTTCCGTCCGGGAGGCGTGGCTGGTGCACGGGCAGGCCTTGTGGCGTTGGCGTGGCTGGTGCACGGGCAGGCCTTGTGGCGTTGGCGGGTGGCCTGTGGCACTGGGTGGTTTGTGGCAGTTACTCAATCGTTGTCTTTGTCACTGGGGGTTCTTCCGCAGTTTCCCCAGTGAGCAGCAGCCTGTGGCATCTGGAACCGCGTTTCCCAGTCCTGCTGCTGCTCCCTGTTCCCAGTGCTCACCCCCCACCCCGGGGCTTCCGGCCTTTACTTCTAGCCGACCTGCAGAGGGCGGAGCCTTTCGTGGGACCCCGCCTGACTCTCCGGGGGGGCGGCATCTGGCCTTACACTTCCTGGAGGGGGTAGTCTGTGCCATTAGTCCCTTTTTTGCTCTCTTGTCGCTCTCACCAGGCAAATGTACCCTTTGCTAGCTTCCAGAGACTCACTGTGTTCTGAGCAGCCTGACACCTCCCAGGAGCCGTCTCCTTCCCCAAATACCCTTCCTGGGTACAGGGCACAGGTGGCCGGCAAGGCTGAGGCCCCTGCTGGGAACTTTTTGGTTTCTTCTGCACAGCAAGTCCAGCACCTCTATTTAGAATGCCAAGATAAGTTGGCCTCCGAGTTATGGATTCCTGGATCTGCCTTCGGGCTTCTTGCAAAAATCAGCTAACTTGAGCGCCAGACACCGGCCATCTCTTGGCCTTTTGGCTAAGATCAAGGGCAATATCTCCAATAACTAAGATGGGTGTCTGGCATTTCATTTCCTTCTTTTAAGAGTTTCCTTCAAACTTACACTTTACCCCTAGTGATTTCTTCCTAAATTAATAAGTCTGCATCCCCCATGGCGGTCAGGAGGAACCCCACAGTTCTGGTAGCCGCTGTGTGACCTGCCAGCTCTCTCTGGTGGTGAGGGAAGCATCCGGAGCTGGAGAGGGGCCCAGGGCCAGGCCAGTCCGTCCCACCAGCTGGGATGAGGGACTCTAATCCGGCAGGGCTCTGGGACACGTCTCAGCCTTGTCTTCCACCCAGTGGAGCACAACGAAATCGGCTTTGAAGACAGACGCTCCAGTAAGCAGTAAACACGGACTTCTGCCGGAGTTAATTTTTCATTTTAGAGATTTGGGGCCCATTAGAGGAGAGAAAATTTATAACCGAATCATTGCTCTCATTTTAATAACAGAATACAATTGCAGGAAACATTGTTCTCTTTAAACGAGACATGAAACGCTACCTGTCTTGATTTGTTACCTACCCGGCAGATCTTTCAGTGCTAAGGAATTATCCAAACGAAGCCCTGCTGGCAGGAAAGCACACAGATGAATCATTAAGTCCATCTAGAAGTTCTGTGTAGATGTTTCTGGAACTCAACACTAGTAACAGGATGCACTTGCTACAAGTCTTCAGCTTCTCACAGGCAGTCTGCTCAATGAGAAGAGAGAGCCAGAACTCTTCCCACACGAACGCTTTGCTTGAAAAGATCCAATTTTATCCTGAGGTTGCAGCATGTCAATTATACAATCCTTTATGTTGCAGTTGAATCTGGAAAGTTCTCAGCAAATAATCCCTAGGCTTAGTCATGATTTCCTGAAGGCTCCTAGGTCAGCGACACTGCAGGGTAGTGACAGTTTCATTTGAGCGTCTTGTGAATGTCCGCGTCCTTAGTGTGTAAGTACAGATCACGCTCCATTACGTAACGCAGGCAGGCACGCTGCGGGAGGGCATCCTGGTTCCGATTCTGCGCCATGGTGTTTGGAAATCTAAAAGGGCAAAGTGGGAGGCTCCGTGCGATGTCTATAATGAATTTAAAACAGCATTGTGTAAGAATGCTATTTGGATAACGCATTCTCATTGAGAACATGTCTCACTTGGAGAGATCTTTATTTTCCAGTTTCATAATTAGGATTTTTCCATAATCATACTTACGCAGCCAACATTGAGCCTTCTTTGCAAGGCTACATTTCCAGAATGTTCCAGTTAAAGGAAGAAGGGCCTAGTTAGAAATGGCCTTCTGAGACAGCTTTGCCAATCATCACCTTTCTCCCTATGTGTCACCTCTTACACACACACACACATGGACACACACGCATGCACACACGCACACATGCACACACATATGCACACATGCATACAGATACACATGCACACGTGCACATGCATGCATACACACATGCGCATGCACACGCACACATGCACACACACACACACACGCACGCACACTAATGGCTGCAATTCCTGCCAGTCCCAGCTCCAACACAAAGCTGGCCCCTGTCGCGGCCTCCTACCCTCTCACACTGGGACTGTCCCATGACTTTGCGTCTGTGCAGACACATGTGATTGTGTGGATAAGCAAATGCTTGCTAATGGCAAGAGCAAAAGAATGGACAGATGTTGTGCGCTGACCCTGTGTGACCCTGTGAGGTCACTGTCTACCGCTGACCCTGTGTGACCCTGTGCGGTCACTGTCCACCGCTGACCCTGTGTGACCCTGTGAGGTCACTGTCCACTGCTGACGTGACCCTGTGCGGTCACTGTCCACCGCTGACCCTGTGTGACCCTGTGAGGTCACTGTCCACTGCTGACTCTGTGTGACCCTGTGAGGTCACTGTCCACCGCTGACCCTGTGTGACCCTGTGAGGTCACTGTCCACCGCTGACCCTGTGTGACCCTGTGAGGTCGCTGTCCACTGCTGACCCTGTGTGACCCTGTGAGGTCGCTGTCCACCGCTGACCCTGTGTGACCCTGTGAGGTCACTGTCCACCGCTGACCCTGTGTGACCCTGTGAGGTCGCTGTCCACTGCTGACCCTGTGTGACCCTGTGAGGTCGCTGTCCACCGCTGACCCTGTGTGACCCTGTGAGGTCACTGTCCACTGCTGACCCTGTGTGACCCTGTGGTCACTATCTGCAGGTCTGCCTGTCTTGCCATGTTTTAAGTTCTTGGAACAGTGATCATATTTTCTCATCACCTTGTGGAGGTTTGTGTGTGTTTGGTTTTTTGGTAGTCATGTTGGGGACTGAATTGGGGCCTTGTGCTCTCTAGACATACTCTACTGCTTGAGCCACAGCCCACAAAGGCCTTTTGCTTTTAGTTTGTGTTTCAGGGGCTTGTGTTTTTGCCCAAGCTGGCCTTGAACCAAGATCCTTCTACCTCTGGCCTTTCAAGTAGCTGTGACCAGAGGCATGTTGGCTTGTTTTGAGGTAAGATCTTGCCTGAGCTAGTCACAAACCACAGTCGTTCAATCTCCAGCTCTAGTAGCTAAGATTACAGGTATGACCACCGTGCCCAGCTTCTAATCACTTTAATGTGGTTGCAGTTGATTTGTGGAAGCTCCAGTTGTAGTTATAAATCTTGAAGCATACGTTGGATCATTTTGAAATAGCTCTCTTTTGCGTTCTCCTCCTTACTGGTGAAACTTCAGGGTTTAACTTTAATTCTAACCTAACACATGGGTGGATGGTTGGTTGGCTGTTGGCTGGCTGGCTGCCTGGATAGATGAATGGATGGACACTGGAATACTTTCCTGTGACAGTAACTAGTGCCTGTGCATTGATTGGAGTCTCTGGAAGCCTTTCTCCTGCGGTGGAGATCCCCGGGGGCGGCTGGTGGCCACTGGCGTCCTAGCGAGCACACGCTGGCCGCTGCAGCCACCGCCTCTGCACCCCCTCCTGTGGCCGCTTTAGGGAATTGCAGCCTCTTCCCTGCGTCATTCCTGTTCCTCGTCACCTGCTACACAGGCCCCTTACTACATATTTCCGTCTGGATGTACAGTTTCCTGCGTTCTTTATCACTACAGTATGCTTTTCTTTTCTATGTGGATAATTTCACTCAAGGAAACATGAAGTTCTGGTATTTGAGCCTGATTGCAACCCAGTAATATTGTTATTACTGCTCTTTCCGGTATGGTAGTAATATCAATAGTGACTGTTAGGACAAGGCCTCTGGTGATGCTGTACATGAGTAAATCCAAGAGCATGGCTGATGTGAACATCCGATCATGGTACTGGGCTCGTGGTTACCTCTGTACTGCTTCCTACATATCTTTGGTGGGCCCTGTTCAGTCCCCTTCTGACAGATGACTTGGGGATTCTTTCACTTGAGTTTGGACTCATTTTGACTTTCAATTTCTGGTCTCTTCGAATGACAGAGTACGTTTCCTGATGGGTGGACGCCATGGGGAATTTAAGTTTCTGCCTCCCTCTGGGTATGCCCCGTGCTATGAAGCCTTGCTCCCGAAAGAGAGGCTGAGACTGGAGGCCGTGAAGGAATACAAGCGCGATACGGGCGGCGTCCGTGACCTCCTGGGCACCACCCAGCTCCTCTCCCACGCCTCCTTCACCCCGTGTCCGGTCGACACCAGTCAGGTAGGCTCCAACGGCCAGACACCAAGCCACACAGGGCGTGGCGGGGTGAGCACCTGCGTCTCTCTGTCTTTGAGCTGTTCTTACAAAGTGTTCTGTAGAATTGTGTGGTGTGAGTCGCTGTTCTTTGCCCTTGCACCTCGTGTATTGATTGAGTTTGTTGGGTTTGTCTCCCAGTAGACATGTTGAGTGCCTGTGCGATGCGAGGCATTGCACTCCCTGAACGATAGGGAAGAAATGTAACAGCACTGAGAAACTACAGCCAGGTTGAAGAGGTGAGGAGCAAATGTGTTATCATTTAAGGCCAGGAATGATAAATGCAAACTGAGCAGTATGCACAAGTAAGTTCATACTGCACCCTGCTAGTGTGTTTCTAGATGTCCGTAGACAAATGGCGCTCAGTCAGGGCCCCTACTGGGCTTACATGGGGAGGGACATCTGGGGTGGGAGAGGATAATAGGAAGCAAAGTAGGGGCAGGTGGCTGTGAGTCTCAGGTGGCTGGACGTTTGGGGAGGGAGGAACATGCTGGAGCAGGATGGAAAATAAAACTGAAAAGTTAGGATGGTGCAGCGGGTGGGTGCTGTTGTGTTGTGTGGTGGGAGACATGCACTCAGAGTCCGGCGGGAGCCCCCAGAATTCCGGCTATACTCGAATCACTCCTGAGGGAGCTACGGGAAATGGGTGAGGATGGAACGGCCCTCTGAGGCAGTGTGTGGCAGTTTATATGAGTGATTTCGGCATGCAGAATGTTCTGATGTGTATTTCCTTACACTCATGCGACCTCGTTATATTCAACTGTGCTGCTTCTTACCCTGTGGAGCAGCAAAGTAAAGTCGGGGGGAGATGGGGAGCCCTTCACCGGGAAGACCACGCGACACAGACATCTGCAGAGAAGGGCTGGCCAGAGGCTGCAGGCGCAGAAGGGCTGGAGGCCGGGGGGGGGGGGAGGAGGGTGCTCTCACGGCAGAGCGCCTGAGCCCTGGGACTCTGCAGTAGATTCTGAAATAATTGCTTCTGCTTTCCACTTTCCCCTTTTCCTTCAGGTTGTTTTACCACCTCACCTGGAGAAGATCCGAGACAGACTGGCCGAAAACATCCACGAGCTTTGGGGAATGAACAAAATAGAACTCGGCTGGACTTTCGGCAAAGTACGTATTTCAGGGTGGAGGACTAGAGTCAGGTTTCCCAAGGGGTTCTTGAGGGACTGCTGAGGACGAGAACTCTGCCAGCTTCCAGGCCCACTCCCCTCTCCTACCATCTGGCTGGCTTTCGCGATGTTCAGAAGCAAGCTTTTACTGTCTGTCCATGGCAGGAGCCCCGGAGACCTAGCTCTTCACAGACAGAAGCCAGAGTCCATCTCCTGTCTCCCCTCAGGTTCTGACTGTTTTATTGGGGAAATACGGGATTCATACCTCCACGTCTCCCATTCAGAAAAAAGCCACTGTCTTTGCGTGGGTGGTCATAGCCCACTGATTCATTGTCTTGAATCCGAAATTGTTGAACATGGCTTTCAGATGTATCGTGAAGATTAATGGACACTCAAGGGAGGTTAGATAATCCCTCACTAGAGAACATTTTTCAGAGAAAATGTAAATTGACTTTGCTCTGTGATTTGTATAAGGTCACGTCTGAAGATGGAATGCGGTGAGTTCTGTAGGTTCCTGTGACCCTGCTCTCTCAGATGATACATGGTCCTCTTAGCTGCGGCTTGTACCTCAACAGCTATTATGTGTGGATAGCCACACAAAACGTTCTCATTTATAATCACCACAAGCCTCTTCCTTTAGAATGTGGCACGGTTGCAATTTCAGATTTAACCTTACAAATATTACTACTTCCTACATCATTGGATGGTTTATTCATGAGGTGTGCCATCTGTGCTCAACATAATGTTCAGACAGATGTAGATCCAGCCAGCCTTGGATGGATGAGCCATGCTCTGATCTCATTCAATGCAATCGCATGAGCCACATGGGGCTATGAAGCATTTGAAAAGTGGCTAATCTGGATTGAGATTTGAGAATGTCAAGTCCACACTGGACTCCAAGGACTTAGTGTGAACAAAAATAATACAAACTATCTCCTGAAAATTCTTGCCTGGCTATCTGTTAAACTAGTAATAAGTAACATACATTCTAATATTAATTGCACCTATTTTTCTCTTTTCTAATGTGGCTTCTAAAGATACAAATTTGGTTCACCTTTGTGTCTGACTGCATTTCTGGCACATGCTGGTCAGGATTCTGTAGTTCCTCACATCCTGGAGTGGGCCACCTTTCAGTAAATAATGGTGTCATGAGTTTTGAGCCCAGAGAGGCTGGACCTCTCAGGAAGTGTGTCCTAAATGCAGACGCCTGTCTAGAAATAAAGCCACAGAGCACAAGCTGTTGGCAACTTGGGGCCCGGGAACCACGTACTGGAGACAAGATCGTCTGTTCACCTGTCAGCATGGGGCTGTCTTTCGCCAACTATGGGTTTCCTGGACCAGGATCCAAGGGAACACATGCCTGGTTCCCAGTGCAGTGCCAGCGGTCCAACATACATTACATGTTCTTGTCTTGTCACCTAGATACGGGATGACAATAAAAGACAGCACCCCTGCCTTGTGGAGTTTTCAAAGCTTCCTGAAACTGAGAAGAATTACAACCTACAGATGTCGACTGAAACCTTAAAGTGAGTGCTTAACTGACTTGAAGCTTAACTGAACAGTGAGTCCATCATTTAATACTTCTAAACCAATCTGCAAAGGTATGTCTCTCTCGTATGAAAATATAGGCTGATAAAATCATGTCACAAGAGGATCCCACATAGTGAACTGGTCCACCATTGTGACCTGGTGTATATGGTCTCTGAAGAACTATAGTTTGCTAGGAATGTAGAAAAGGTATAAGAGGCAGAGTAAAAGAAGAACAGAATGAAAGGGTCAAGTGTGTCTTATAGTTTATATGAAATCAGGCCAAAAAAAAAGATAAGTCATCTTGGAACCAATAGAAAACTTGGCCTGATTCACTAAAATTCAATTTTAAAACAACTTTGAGCTTTTCCATGATCCCACCCTTGATCTTACCCAAGATCCCTTCTAGCCCAAGGTGATATCTCCCATTTTGAACTCCTTTTGTCCATATTGCCTGTTCTGTTTCTGTGCAGTGCAGAATGCTCTGACACTGCTTTGCGGATGTAACCGTGCTCTGTGAGGGCTTTGTCTCGTAGGCTCACCTGTGGGATCCCCTCAGTTATGCGGACGTTTGTTGAGGGAATTGTATGTGGTAGTGTCAAACACACACTTCAAAGCTTCACAGAGACAACCGCAAGTCTTGCTGGCCTGTGGATTTGGTATTAGGATCCTATTTGTCTTGCGGAATTAGAAGTCAGCTATAACTCAGAATGAAGTTATAAACTAGAAGGTGTTTCTGCAGGCAACAATTTAAAACTTCCCTTTTGTGTTTTTTGCTCACTGTCATCTAACTCTTCTAGAAGCTAGCAAATTATGGCCCCTGCAGTAATCAAAGCAGCCACCTATTTGCATAAAATAGAATTTTATTATCACAAAGCCAAGCTCATAGGTTATGTCCTATTTATATAAAATAGAATTTTGTTATTGTATATGCAAGTTCACTGGTGTATGTCTTATCTAAGGCTGCTCTTTCCTTCCATAGCGGCCCCTAAATAGTGTGGCCACAGACTGCGTACTGTCTGGCCACTGCAGAAAACATGTGCAGCCATCAGTCTGAAGGAATGGCTGTTACCCTTTTTTTTTTTTTTTGGTCAGTCGTGGGGTGTGAACTCTGGGCCTGGGCACTAACCCTGCGCTCTTCAGCTCAAGGCGAGCGCTCTACCACTTGAGCCACAGCACCACTTCCGGTGTTCTAGTGGTTTATTGGAGATAAGAGTCTCACAGAGTTTCCTGCCCGGGCTGGCTTTGAACCGCGATCCTCAGATCTCAGCCTCCTGAGTAGCTAGGATTACAGGCGTGAGCCACGGCGCCCGGCCTGTTGTCCGTTTTTATCAGCTCAAATATGTGTCAGGCTCTTGCTGTCCTTTATTTTAGAGTTGACCGTGGTCTTCTTCCTCTGTTGTGTCACAGAACCCTCCTGGCCCTGGGCTGCCACATTGCTCACGTTAACCCTGCCGCGGAGGAGGAGCTCAAGAAGGTCAAACTGCCCAAAAAGTAGGTGAACTTTAACTTTCTAACGGGTCAGGGCTTCAGTGCTTCAGTCTCGGTTCCTACACCCAGAGTCGGAAGTTAGCAGCCCCAGTCGTGGCTGACGCTCCTGTTACTCCCCTCAGCAGACCCCAGGTCTCAACTACTCAACAATTTCTTTCTTTTTCTTTTCTTTCTTCTTCCTTTTTCTTTTTTTGTTAGTCGTGGGGCGCTTGTTCAAGACGAGCGCTCTCCCACTTGAGCCACAGCACTATTCTGGCTTTCTAGTGGTTTATTGGAGATCAGAGTCTCATGGACTTTCCTGCCCAGGCTGGCTTTGAACCGCGATCCTCAGATCTCAGCCTCCTGAGTAGCTAGGATTACAGGCGTGAGCCACCGGCGCCCGGCTTACTCAGCAGTTTCTGTAGAGTGAGCCCTGGACTCTCTTCGCCACACGAGTGGTCGCTGCTCTCCGGGCAGTCATACCACAGCTGGCCACAACCTCTCAACTCACTGATGTATCTGTCCAGGCGTAGACTACACTCTCTAACTAACGTTTGCACATTATCTACCAAACTACCAACATCTGAGGCTGGGACTCCTGGCGTGGACAGCTGGCTGCTAAGGTCACTTCAGTATCTCAGATTCACTTGTGTTTTGTTTTTGATAATTCCAAATGTAAGGTTGAACATTCTGAGACTGAGTCGATCTGGTTGTAGCTTCTTGCATGTTGGGATGAAAGCCAGGTTGGAAGAGCATCTGATAATGTGCCAGAATACTGAATCATTTGTTAAACATCTTTTCTGGGAAGTAAGGATGTGTGTGTACTGACCATCTGTTTCTCCCACAGTCTCCTTTGAAATCTGTGCCACAGAGAATGGTAGAATAGGGGCTTCATCGATAGACTTGAAGTAGATGTGAGCTGCCAGCCAGTGGGGACGGACATGAATGTAGACGTGCTTTTGTGTTTCCTTGCAGCTTCATGATGTCTAACGGCTACAAACCAGCCCCTTTGGATTTGTCTGATGTGAAGCTCTTACCTCCTCAAGAAGTTTTAGTGGATAAGCTTGCAGAAAACGCACATAATGTTTGGGCAAAGGACAGAATTAAACAAGGGTGGACCTATGGCATTCAGCAGGTGAGACGTGCCGGTGGTGCATGCTGGAGGGGTTAGATGCGACCATCCATCAGAATGACCTTTGGCTTTGGAGAGGAATTAAGTTGGCAGGTGGGGGTGTCCTTGCAATGTCCCTTTCCCTGGAATGCATTTGTTATTTGTAGAATCATGGAGTCGATGGAATTTGTGAAGGTCGCCTTGGCATTGACTCCAGGCATAGCTTCAGCTTTGCAGAAATGTATAAGGTTTACCTTTCCCTCTGTTAAGGAAATGCTCTTTACCCAGTAGCTATATTTCATCTCATTATTGCTCACGCTGATTACGCTGTAGAGAGTTAGGCTTTTGTGCTGCCCTCCAAGGCCAAGGTGTAAGGAACAGGTAAACATCATTCACCAGTGGCATTTTAGGGATGTCTCAAATATCTATTAATAAGAATATAAAGAGGGAAAAGCAGCCTGCCAAGGAGCCAGCGCCTCCTACCTGCCTTCAGTTCACTGAGCCAAGGATTCCTGAGCAGAATTCCTGGCCTGAGCAGGAATTGACTGAAAAGACAAGGTTCATAGCCAGGGACACATCCCAATCCATCTCACCTCTTCCCTGAAAATATTCACGTTGGCTTAATAATCACCAGAACTAGAGTGAGCGGCAGGGCAGTTCAGCTGAGTTCATTTACAGCTGAGCCGCAACCCTGCACACATCGGGGAGCCTCGAAGCCTGTGGCTCTGGGAACGAAGCGGTGGAGATTGAGGACGTGCAGACAGCATTTGACATGATAGTTGGGGTGGCTTTTCCTGCAGTTGTCCTACAGTCCTCAAGATGGAGGGGGCTCTTCTTCAGATGTGTGCCTTTTGTGATTAAAGGGGCCCCTCATGCTCTGCCGCTTCTCCATGAAGACTTCTGAAGAGGCCATTGTGGGGAGTCCTCACAGTTCAGACAGTGACTTGAGTTTTCACAGGGAAACATGGCACAAACCCCATCTGCCCTGTCTCGGGAATGAAGGTTTCTAACCAGTCTCCTGACACTTTGTTGCACGTGCTGGCTAGCATTATTGAAATTTTTTTTTTAACCTAGATTTGAGCATTGGTACAACTTTTCCATTTATGCTCCCTTAACCCTGAGTGGAAATGGCGAATGCGTACATTGCTAAAGATCAACACACTCGTGAAGACGCTAACAGACAGGACAGCCAGGAGTCGGTGAGTGGCATGAGCTGTTGGTAACGCTGAAGTGTCTTTTCTTCCCTCTGCTTCATGTAGGATTTGAAGAACAAAAGAAACCCCCGTCTGGTGCCATATGCTCTACTGGACGAACGCACTAAGAAGTCAAACCGGGACAGCCTTCGTGAAGCCGTTCGGACATTTGTGGGCTATGGGTATAACGTGGAGCCTTCAGACCAAGAACTAGGTAATGAGCTAAGACCTAGGAATGATTCTTGCTCCAATTGACTAAACAGGTCCTCTTCTGAGAACATGTAAGTTTTAAGTAGGTGTTCATTTTAAACCGGAAGTGGTGTCTTTCATGTGATGTAGACAGGGGTCACAGTTCCGTACATAATGAGTACATTTCTTGTCAAACATCATTACCCCCAGCTTTCTTAAATGCTCCATTTTTAAAAGCGTCATTGGAGCATCCTCCCATTAACAGACGCTTCTGCGATGGTTGCTTCTGTGATTCAACCCCACGGAGGAGGTGTAGAGCAGCTGCAGAGAACCAGGTCCCAGAACAACACCATCTGTCCTCTTGCTCTCCAAAGATTGACTGTCACCTTGCTTTGGGATCAGATAATTCCGTCTCCAAGTTCAATTCTAACTAAACCACTAGCTTATGACTGGTGAGCACACCACCCATAGCCCAAAGGGGTTCATGGGATGTCTTTGAAGTCAGTCCTGGATTCAGATCTTTTTCTTCTCTGTTCATTGGCTCTGTGACTTTTGAATAAGTGAGTTAACCTCTCTGAACCTCAAGTTTTCTACCCTGACTTCATAGTGAGGGTAAACTGAGGTATGGATCCTGAAGGGGTAGCTAGCTATACAGCCCTCCTTCATCCTGGCATTGCTAAGATAAGATGATGATGATGATGGTGATGGTGATTATTGTGGTGTGAGCAAGATGCTACCTTAGCTAGAGGGAAACTACGGGGCCATCTTGGTTGTCAGCAAAGCCTTTGAGGAATGCTCCATAACCATGCTGTGTCCTCCTTTCCTCCCATGTCTTCCACTCAGTAGCTGATCCGGCTGTAGAAAAAGTCAGCATAGACAAGCTCCGATTTTTCCGGGTGGAGCGGTCCTACGCGGTCCGGTCTGGGAAGTGGTACTTTGAGTTTGAAGTGGTGACCGGAGGCGCCATGCGCGTCGGCTGGGCCCGGCCGGGCTGCCGCCCCGACGTCGAGCTGGGGGCTGACGATCAAGCATTTGTGTTTGAAGGCAGCAAGGTGGGTCCGCATGGCGCCCACGTGCCCGTGAGGGGCTCTGGAGACCACAGAGTTGGGACCTGGGGCTTTAAAGTGACCAGTCCAGTGTGTTAAATGTTGAAGAAAAGTGACATTGTCTTGTGTTTGTTCACTTTTTTAAAAGACCTAATTCCTGATTATATGTTACGTTTATTTACTGTATGTACGTGGGTCCCGGATGACGTTTTTTAACCATCTTATGAATGATGGCTGGGCAAGTTGGATAATATAAAAAATACTTTCCCTCAGGCTAGCTAAGGTAGGTCAGTCAAGTTGGTGATGCCTAGTAACCATTTTGCATTATTCATTGTAAGAACAATTTTTAAGTGACTAGCCTGTACCACTAGCTAATACATGGATTGAACGTTGCCTAGTGATTGCTTCTTTGCCCCTTGCTCTGCTGGAGAGACCTGTTATTACATCCGTATCAGCTCTTTTCACCCAAGCCCATGGATTGGCCCCACTCCAACACTAACTCAGTGAACTCTCTGCAGCCAGTATGTGTGGGAGAGGGTTGTTTTTACCAATTTTCCTCCGAGAGAATTCTGGTTATGGTCTTCGCTGGGTGGACGCAGGCTGCCTTTTCTGTTGAGTCTTGTGTGTCTGTGGGGTAGGCTGCTCCTCCCGGTGACATATTTGGTGGAGAGGGGAGACCTCACGGAGGCCATGAGCCACTGCCAATCAGAGGGGCTGCCGCGATCACTCCTCTAGCCGGGGTCTTGTTTTGTAGGGCCAGCGCTGGCACCAAGGGAGTGGGTATTTTGGGCGAACATGGCAGCCCGGCGACGTGGTTGGATGTATGATTAACCTGGACGATGCCTCAATGATCTTCACACTGAATGGGGAGCTGCTGATCACCAACAAAGGCTCTGAACTTGCCTTTGCTGACTATGACATTGAGAACGGTAAGGCCCCCCCTCCCCCCTCCTCCTCCTTAAATGTGAAGGAAGCTCAGGGCAGCTGAGTGAGCCCTTCTGCGTCGCTACGTTGTCTTTGCATAATTGAAACTCTAATGATGAAGGCTTTTTATTGTGAAACTCGGGGTGGGACACAGGGCCTTGGACTTGCTGGGAAGGTGCTCTACCACTTGAGCCACACCTCCAGCTCATTTGATGCAGTAGTTTCTTAGATAATGTCTTATTTTTTGCCCAAGCAGACAGGCGTGGATCATAAATCCTCCCATGTATACTTTTCCTCTGTAACTGGGATGATAGGCATGAAGCACCATGCCCAGCCTTTTTTTATTGGTTGAAATGGGTCTTGTGAACTTTTTGCCCAGACTGACCTCGAACCACTGTCCTCCCCAATCTCAGTCTTCTGAGTAGCTAGGGTTACAGGCATGAGTCACTGCACCCAATTTGAAGACTTACCAATTTTGAAGAAGCAAGACAACTAATAGTGATAGTTGGTGTGTGCAGCATAGATAGAAATTCTAAACGGAAACGCTCTCCCCTTCCTATACCTTGACTTTTTAGGGTCCTTAGGTTTCCTGGCAGTACATGGGAGATGCTAATTATAAAGGAACTAATGACCTTGGCAGGAGAGAATAATTAGCAAATTAAAGGATAATTATATTCTGCTTTGGATTATAAGTCTGCATGTTTGTATATTAGAACTTGATGTTGATGAGAACCATTGAAACAGAAAAGTTACATTCAACTATTCCTTTGAATGAAATAAAATTTTCTTTGAAACCAAAGCAGAACTGCACAAAGAATCAGAGCATGCTGTTTCCTGTCTGTGTACCTACACACAGTGCGCACAGGCCATATGTTGGTATATAGAGTGAAGTACCCTGGGCTACAAGTCAGCAGACTTGCTTCTGTCCAGGTATATAGTTCCCTGAGAATCTGTGCCAGAACTACCTGGGCGTTACTTCTATACCAGTGTAAGGTAAGAGCTGAGAGATCTCTATGTTCCCAGATTTTTATTTTATTATTATGTTTTGTTTGTGTCAGTCATAGGCCTAAACTCTGGGCCTGGGCACTATCCCTCAGCTCTTCAGCTCAAGGCTAGCGCTCTATCACTTGAGCCACAGCGCCACTTCTAGTTTTTTCTGCTTAGCTGGTACTGAGGAATCAAACCCAGGGCCTCATGCATACAAGGCAAGCACTCTACCACTGAGCCACTTCCCAGCCTATGTTCCCAGATTTGAAATTCCTTGGCAGTGATTAATATCCACTGTCTGCACAGATCTGTCCATCCTGCTACCTCCTCACAGAGGAGGAAGATGCGTCACCTGTCTGCCTGTGACACCTGTGAACTTTCACCTCTGTAGGCCCCATTTCTCCTTCTGGTCATGATCAGAGCTCCTTACAGCACTGAATTCCTGACTGCAAAAAGAAAATCCATGCTGAAGAAGGCTACATATACAACTTCACAGGCAAAAGAGCATGTGTATAAGATGTAAATGTCCTTTGTAGAGTGTTTTCAGCCTTATGAATGACATACACACTCTTTACAGACCTGTCTGTAATGTGCATAACAGCTGTGCCTTTCAAGAGCTTTAAAGACTTTCCTAAGACATAGGTCTTTGGGGAAACAGAATAGTTGCAAATTGATGTTTTTCCTGGAGTCAGGAAAAGCCACGTGGGAGATCATGTTTTAATACCTTCTGAGGAGTTTTAAGATCCTAGTTGTAAAGAGCATTCCATTTGGAGAGGCAAGTAGGAAAGACATTGCCAGCAGAAGAGCCAGCCTGTGTGCTGTACAGAACCACCAGAGACTGACTCCTGTACACCAGGAAGACAATGAAAAATGAGAAGATACAGGCCTTTCTCCAGGGAAAGTCATTCCCTGGGGTAGAAAGAACCAAAGACCAAGGACCTGTCCGTGGCTTTACTATTGTGTTAACTAGAAGAGGTTAGTACCTATCAGTGTTTGGTTCATGTTTAAGGAGTAGATAAGAAGATTTTCAGTAATGAGAGTGTGAGTGTGAGAACTTGGGAGAGCCCAAAGCCTTGGTGCTCGAAGCATGTACCCTTATCAGAAATGCAGCCCCTCAGCCCCATGTCGAACCAGAGCGGACACTGCATCCCCACAAGAGACCGTAAAGTCTGAGATGAAGAGTCTAGGCGTGTACAGTGGTAGCAGAGTTAAGTAGCTCATTTTCCAGTGGTAGAATAATGAACAGGAAAAGGTGACTGGCCAGTTATAGATGGCAAGTGACGGATGCAGGATAGAAAGTCTACAAGCAGGATTTGAAGTGAATGTTGAATAAGGAATGTGAGCAGTCAGCCTCTGCCGCCCGAGGATGGAACGTCAGTGAACTTCGAGCAAGGCTAGAACAAGAGAAGGTTTGCATGTGGAATGTATGAATTATGGGGTAAGAAGGGGAGATACACTGCACAGGATACCTCAGATACCAACATTCAGGCTTTCTCATGCAAGAAACTAGTCTGCTCTGAGAAAGCACACCCTTGTCCTTCCCCCTCTAGGAAATGAGCAGCTGTGGCAGGGTGTGAGCAGAGAAATACGGTGAGGAGAGACAAGCTTCAGGGCAGCCCTGCTTTCAGATCATCTGTGCTGGGATGAAAGAGGTGGCCCACAGGCCTTTCCTGTATGTGATTTGACCTTCAGAAGTGCAAAGTCTATGATTAGGGAGCTGTTTTATCATAGAACTGTACTAGAATATTCTCTCACTATATTTATTACTGTGGCATGCTTTAATCATACAGAGACAAGGTAATCTGGAGCTCTTTCCAATGTGGGTTTGCTGTGGAGTTGGTGAAGGGCAGCAGAATGGAAGTTAACATGGCATTCTGCGGTAACGGTAGCCTGAGGCCTAGAAGGATGGAATCGCATCTCTGTTCTCGGCAGAAGGTGGAAGGAGCCAGCAATCTTGCATTGAGTGGTGTGGAAAACCATCTGTAAAAATAAGCGTTTTAGACGTTGTAACCCCATCAGGAAGAATGTCCCACAGGCATGTCCGCGGCCATCCAGGCCAGGGCCACAGGCATGTCCGTGGCCAGCCAGGCCAGCACCCCAGTGGGGAGTCTTTAGTTCCTTGCAGAAGGAATATTTTGTGCCCACTCCCATCTGTGGCACTTGTACGTTCCTCTCCCAGCCCTCCCCCTCACAGCTGATAGGACCTTACCTGACTCGTTAGAATTTTTCTCATCAGGCATGGTCCTTTCCTGGGCCGCCCTGGCTTTTTGTATTTTCACCGAAAGTTTTCTGGAAGGTCAGGAGCCTCAACGCCTTCTCTGGTCCACATTGAAGGAGAGAGATGAAATCCTGAGCGTCCTTCCCGACCCCAGAGAGGCACCAGGAAGAGGAGACGCGATGACCCTCAAGAAATGTCTGCCTCTTGCTGCAACTTTGGTGTCTGCAGGTTGCCTTCCAACTCTGGTGGCTCTGCAGTCGGAAGGCTCTTTGCAGAAAGTAGCATCTGCAGACACTCTGGTGCCAGAGCCCCGCCCTCCCTCCAGACAGGGTCTGTGCTTCAGAAGTGACTGCGCAAGGGCACCTATCCCCAGACTGCACCTTCATTGGGTTTAGGAGGAGATGAAAAGTAAAGCATGGGCTCTTGAGACTAGGAAATGCCTGAAGAATAGTCTGGAATCATCCAACATCTGACCAGCCTTGGTGTAGTATCTCCTGGGCTCCTTCTCTGAGCTCCCTAGCTATGTCTTTGTCTGTTTGGCGTCAGGAGGTCGCCAACACGCCTTCCTCCCTTTGCTTCAGCCGTTCCCCGCCTCCGCGGTGCTCAGCTGTCCTCTGCAGGGACAGCTTGCACAGAGACAGCCCTGTGCTCTGCCGCCAGTTCATCCTGTACCCTGGGACACAGCCGCTGGCCAGGCCTGGGGAGCTTCCTCTCACTCCTGACTGCTTCGCCGTGGGACAGGTCCCATCTCATTCCCCCTTGTCTTCACCTGGACCAAGGGGGGCGGCTCCTGCGTCTTTAGTTTTACCCTCTAATGTTGTTCCCTCGGCTGATGCTTAGTAATGATGAGGAGCCTGAGTTGAGGGGTGGGGGTGGGGGTGCTTCGGGCACATGTCACCACTTCCTCTTACATTGTGGCTGTGACTAGGAGTTGTTCAAATGTCCCAAGCTATATCCAGTCATCTGCCGCATAATTATCCTGCTCAGCTCAGGAAAAGAAAAAAGAAAGAACTTGTCAAGGTATCCTGCTCTCTTCCGGGGCAGAGCTGGGCGGGTGTTTATATGGCCCTGGCTCCAACATAAAACCCTCATGATGAATTTTTGTGTTGTTACCCCATTAACAGAATAACCAACATACCCTCTTGAGAGCAGAGCTGGTTTGCAGTGAAAGGCGTTTCATTCCTCACCCACGTTTCTGTGTGTTCCTTGAGATTTGGTCAGTTCCTTTTTATCCCAGCACCCAGCAGAGCCCTTAGTCCCAATGTGGTTCCAGGAATTGTGCTGACTACCAGTGCTGTAGTCAGATTTCCAGGGGGTCTTTATTCATAAATGTTTCCATCTATAGAAAGGAGATAGTCTAATCTATCACAGCCCCTCGCACAAAACTCCCAGGAGCACAGCAGTGCGTAGCGTGAGTGCTGTGTGACCGTGCACCAGTTGAGCAGTCTGTCTGCTCTGCTAAGGGGCAGACTGGGGTCTGGTCTGAGTGCTTGGTGTCCTGTGAGGAGCCATTGTGCTCAGTCTGCTAGGATTGCACAGATATTCTCTCTTGTTTAGCAGGGGCACTGGGCACATATGTGTGCTAAATGATGAACTCATAGTTTTAAAAGAAAAACAACCGAGCCTATGAGGGATTTACCTTTTGCTTATCTGACATATCATTTACATAGAAACAGCATAGCTCGGGTATTATATTAACAACTGACTTTACTAAGAGTGCAAATTGGCCTTGGCGTGTCTGAAGTAAAGCTCTTATTGTTGAATCTAAATGCTTCCAGTTTGGCCTTTAACGTTCCCCGAAAGGAATGGAGTGGACCAGTTTTCTTTGTGGGAAGCACATCCCTTTTTCGGCTGTTGGCCTGGGAGCCCTTCTTCCCCTTGAAGCTCTCTGCGGCCCCAGCCGTCCCTTACCAACCAGCTCCCCACATCCTCCCCGGTCTGAGGTAATTAGAGCTTTCCCTGCTTTGCTGATTTGTTGGCCCACAATTATGATTTATAAATAACCCACAAACCAGAATAGCAGACAGTTTGAAATTCTGCTTTGGTCTGTTCTGAATGGTAACAAGCAAGAATAGCAGACAGTTTGAACTTCTGCTTTGGTCTGTTCTGAATGGTAATGCTAAAACATGATTGGGACGTAGGCGTGGGCCTGGATAGATGCAGAACCTGTAAGAAGAAGCAGGGAGTTTGTTCTGGCGCTCAGCTGAGCCTCTCCTTCTCTTGCTTAGGTGTGGATGACACTAGGCCCCGGAGCCAGCAGGTGCCTAGGACTTGTTAACACTGTCCTCTCAAAGCATGAGGGCCACCGGACGCTCCCTTCACTGATGGGGATGCTAAACGCCAGAAAAGCCAAGCTCCAGTTCACCCCTCTAAGTAAATGTCGTTGTGTAGACGTAAGGTATAGAGCATGATGTGGTGAGATACACTGAAGTTTATACTCTAAAGGAATAAGCACGTTCATTATCTCACAGTCACTCATGTTTTTTTGTTCCTTCTGTGACAAAATTCTGCTCACCAAGTCCATCTTAAGGTTTATTGTGTTGTTTAGTTTTAGAAGCATTTATATTATTTCCCAGAGCCTAAGAACAATGGTAAGGAAGGCATAAATAGAGAATTTCACTTATTCTTTTACTGACTTGATCTTTCTAGTTGATATTTACTTTTTGAGGATAATCCTGGCCCTAGAGTTGGGGTTAAAGTGCCTGCAAAGCAAGCTCAAGGCTCAACAGAACTGATCTTAGTTGGATTGGGTGCCATAGCTCACACTATGTTCCCCCTTACTCAGGAGGCTGAAATTGGAAGATTACAGTTTGAGGCAAAGCGTTAGTAAGACCCCATCTTAATCAATAAGCCAGGTGGGGTGGGGCTCATCTTCTTTCCAGCTAAACAGGAAATGTAAATAAAATGATGGTGGCCCATGCTGGCCCACACATAACCGTGAGACCCTGTTTCAAGAAATAAAAAGGGCTAGGGTATGACTAGGCTAAAGCACCTGCCTGGCAAGCACAAGGCCTCAGGACTAGAAAATGCTCCTTACCATCCTCCTGTTAGCTCCATCCTTTCCCTGGTCATTTTAAAGCGAACTCACGGTTCTTTCCTATATACCAAGAGCAGGTGGCCTTCCCTCCTTGCAGAACGAAGGGTTATGTCCTGTGCTTCCTCCTGGGACTCACAGGACTGAGGAAGCAAAGGTGCAGCGCTCGAGGGCTGACGCAGAACTGTTTCTGCAGGCTTTGTGCCCATCTGCTCCCTGGGGCTGTCTCAGATTGGCCGCATGAACCTGGGGACAGATGCCAGCACCTTCAAGTTTTACACCATGTGTGGCCTCCAGGAGGGCTTTGAGCCTTTTGCCGTCAACATGAACCGGGATGTGGCGATGTGGTTCAGCAAGCGCCTTCCCACGTTTGTCAACGTACCGAAGGACCACCCCCACATAGAGGTAATGGTGCGCACTGTGGGTGGTCCTGGCGGGCGGGCAGGCCCTGCTCCCATGAGTCCTCCTGTCAGCGGACCCACACCTCTGCCCTGGCTTCCTCCCAGCCTCCCCCGCCTGTCCTCAGAGCCACAGGACAGGCACCTTACTTATTCCCGCTCAGCAGCGTCTCGGGAGATACAGTATCCTGCGCACATGGGCCTGCAAACTGGTTCCCAGTGAGGACCACTGCATTTTCTCCAGGGTGCCAGAAACACACACTGTAACCTTGTCTACTCAGGAGCTAAGATCTGAAGGTTGCATTCAAAGCCAGCTGGGCAGAAAAGTTTACGTGACTCCAATTAATTAGCAAAGTGCCAGACTGGAGTTTCAGCGCAAGTAATAGTGTACCGGCCATAAGCAAGCAAACTTGAGCAAGAGCATGAGGCCCTGAGTTCAAGCCCTGGTGCCAGAATGTGGGGTCCGGAATGAGTATGTTATTGATTGCTCATAACTTCATTCCTTCAGGCGTTTGATTTCAGCAGTGCTGTTTGTGAGACTGTGAGCTGGATGTGATGGTGGATTGTGATGCTTCTCTGTTTAGGAGTTGATGGATGGAATGCACTGGCCTCTGGTTCAGCGTCTGCTTGCCTCTGTTGTTCCTATGCCCACCGTCGTGTTTCTTATGATGGGTGTGGGGAGAAGGGTGAGGAGGGACAGACAGACAGAAAGATCGATGGCCTTATCACTTGCTTCATCGGACGCTAGCTTCCCTTAACTCAGCTCTGAGTTTAGTATGCAGCTGCTCTTCATACCCCACTGTCCCCCGCAGGCTCACATCATGGGCCTTCATGTTCTGGTTGCTCATTGGCCATGACTTTGGAAAGGTGTGTGTGGCTGTTTGGGAAGTTTGAGCCAAACTTTGACACCTCTGCTTAGAAAAACACACAGCCATGTGAGCTCATCTATAGACCTAGGATTGGAACTGCTGTCTAAAGAGCAGGAACAGGCTTCAATTTTAAGAGAGTCATTCTTATGGTGAACATCAATTTACCTACCTTGCCACCAGCCTCCACAGTCCTGGGCGTCCTCCAGGTGTTAGGACAGGCTGAAGGGGGCCGAGGACTGAGGTGGGAACTGGTAGCCTCCACAGGAACGCCTGTCTTTGTTGAGCCTTGGGTTTTCTGGTACATGTGCCAGTGACAAGGGACACCTGCAGAAAGGCGTTCTTCTCAGCTCTGTGCCCAGTGACCTAACAGGCCAGCCTTTCTATACACCATGTTCTATCATCTGATCCCACATCCCTCTCTGACATTTATTCTCCACTCTTGGCCTTGAAGAAAACTCACTGGGAACACTTTAAATCTCCTATCTGTCCAGCCAGGAGCAGATCTGTTGTTTCTTATAGGACGGGGACCAAGTAATGATGAGAATCGTAGCTTAGTTATCACCAGTGACAGGTTCTAGTCTGTAGAACGTCTTGCTAAATGTTATTCTTGGTTGGAGGGAGGCTGGAGGCAGGAGGAGAAGGTCAGCTCCCTTGCACAGCAGCGTAAGCGTGTGTGATGGTGTTCCCAGGTCGTGAGGATTGATAGCACCATGGACAGCCCTCCATGTCTCAAGGTGACCCACAAGACATTTGGCACTCAGAACAGCAATGCCAACATGATCTACTGCCGCCTGAGCATGCCTGTTGAGTGCCATTCCTTCAGCCACAGCTCCTGTCTGGACAGCGATGTTTTCCAGAAAAGGTGAGGGGAGACCTCCAGCTTCAGGTGCTCATCATGTCTGCTCTGAAGTAGCCCAGCACAAGATCTCAGTGGGTAGAGCTCTCTCTGCTTGCAGTCAGGTACCGTCATGAAGATGAATGCGTACATAGACACACACAGGGTCAATCACGCTAAACAGAGTCAGAGCTGGTAAAGATGTTTTTGCACTTCTTGAGTCCTCAGAGGACAGGTGTTCTTGCTGCCAATGAGTCCGGGGGCTTGGGACGTGCCTGGGACTTACTTAACCTTGCAGCCGCATGACCTGGAATTCCATGACGTCTTCCTTCCTGTTAAGGAATAGATTGCTTGCCGTCTGTCTTTCCTTTGATGTCCATGTTTAATCACTGATAGGTGTGTGCTAGCTGGGGCTGTCGTGCAGATGTTCTATAGCATTTTGCTATCGACCAAGCTTTTAAATAAGCACACACAGCTGGCTGAGGGAGCAGGATTGATCCATTCAAAGGCACCTGTGCATATGGTACTGCCCCCCCTCCAGCCACCCAGCTTCAACCTAGCATCTGTGTGGAGGGACCACGTTGGAGTTGGAGCCCTGCCTGTGCGGCTTGCAAGACCAGTGGCCATGACTCTGGTATCAAGAACAGCCAAATTCCTGTTTACCCTGATGGTTAAAGGTGGATCAATAGCCTGTCAGAACTGTGGGGTTCTCTGCACAGCCAGATAACTAAAATATGGATTATTTCTCCCTCCAGGAAACAGATGCATGAAATACTCTCTCCTACAACAACAGTAAGTAAATATGCCGAGTTATGCTTTTAATTATTTGACCGTTGCTACGCCTTGTAATAAGCCCTGTACAGCAAAGATTTGTCTAGAGATCTTCTTCAATTGCCAATTACTCTGTCTTTTAATATCTGTCTATGTGCTTGAGAACACCTCTGTGGCGTTTCTCAGGTGAAGAACAGGATAGTCGCTCAGTGCAAAGCAGACACCCCCTGGAGCTCCTAACTGGGTACGGTTGTGCCCTAGTGCCCTTTGCCAGCGGGGACCCCACACTGCCTTTCCTGTGTAGGGAGCGTCGTCGGAGGCCACAGTGAAGTCCTTCTGTCCGCTCTTCTGTGGCAGCTTCGACAGCACACTCCCCACACCTCCGCTGAGTGCCGGGAGGAGAAGCAGGGAGCCGGCCCCGACAGCGGGGCCTTTAGTCCCTTTTCCATAGCCAGACAGTTGTCAGAAGGCAGCGCTGCTGAGTTCTTCCTTTCTCCCACTCTTCCTTCACACCTAGAAAAAATGCCTGCCGTACTTTCTATAAAGTCATTTGAAGTCCTCGGTTTGTAGGCTATGTCATCAAGAGTAAGGTTCTTGCTGTAGATAATTACACCCTGGCCGTGTAAAGACGCAGCACCTGGCGTGGTGTGGCACTTTCCCATAGAATCTACTACAGTCACTTCAGACTAGTTTAATTGGTGCCCTATGCACCGGCGGTACTGTGCTTGTCCAAGGCCGCACAATGAGTCGCTGACAGCACCAAGATTCAAGCCTAGGCTATGTATATATAGTCAGTCCCGGGGCTTGAACTCTGGGCCCGGGCGCTGTCCCTCAGCTCAAGGCTAGCGCTCTACCACGTGAGCCACAGCGCCACTGCCGTAAGCCTAGGCTTTTTGACTGACCCCCTTTTCCTCCCAGCCTAGAAAGACTGCAAATGAGAGTCACTTTATTAAACACCAGTCTTTTTGGCATCATAGGAAATGGCTCCATAGTCACCTTGCTCATGATAAAGGGAATGGCTAAGTGGCTGCCTTCCTCGGCTCTGCGGCTCTTCCTGTAATGCGGTATATGCTTCATGACTCGTAGGACACCCTTGCTGACAACTGCTGTTCTTTCTTGGCCCCTGAAGCAGGTCTGGCCAGAGCCTGGGCCTCTTCTTCTGCAGCCTCTTTCCAGAGTTTCCAGAATAAATACAAAACTCTTGGCCTCCCTAGGAAGTAGAAAGTAACGGGAATGCTGTGGCCCAGGACTGCTCTCTGCCTGTGCTGAGGGTCAGGGCTGCCCTGGCCTGTGCTGAGGGTCAGGGCTGCCCTGGCCTGTGCTGAGGGTCAGGGCTGCCCTGGCCTGTGCTGAGGGTCAGGGCTGCCCTGGCC